AAATCTGGAATTCATTACCTGTGAATATAAAAGAAACACTGTCTGTTTATAAATTCAAGTCTCTTCTCAAAAATCACTTACTCACCCACAACTAAATAAATACTGAATAATTGTATCTCATAAATTGTATCTCATATGTATCTCATTATTGTATCTCATAAATGTCAACCTGTGACCCAATCACACTTTGTTACTATTTAACTTCATTACCTAACAGAATACTCCATTCTACTTATTAAAAAGCAACACAGTAAATGACCATATGACCTGTCTTTGTAATACTCATTTGTACTAAATTGTTATCTGTTTTACAATAATTTTTGTACCACTGAATATATCATTGCTTAGTTAATCTTAAGTTAATTAAGCCTGCCCATAATGCTCTGCCCGGTGGCCTGGTGGCTAAAGCTCCCGCTTCACACACGGAGGGCCCGGGTTCGATTCCCGGCGGGTGGAAACATTTCGACACGTTTCCTTACACCTGTTGTCCTGTTCACCTAGCAGCAAATAGGTACCTGGGTGTTAGTCGACTGGTGTGGGTCGCATCCTGGGGGACAAGATTAAGGACCCCAATGGAAATAAGTTAGACAGTCCTCGATGACGCACTGACTTTCTTGGGTTATCCTGGGTGGCTAATCCTCCGGGGTTAAAAATCCGAACGAAATCTTATCTTATTTCTTATCTTATCTTATCATACAAGTGGCTTTGGCATGCTGCACTTTAAAAATTGTATTCCTTGTACTTCTCTGTATCATGTTCAAATTAAATAAATAAATAAATAAATAAATAAATACTGATTGTACAGCAATAAATGCAACCATATGACCTATTTTTGTAATACTCGTTTGTGCTTGTTATCTGTTTACAATAACGTTTTAACCACTGGATAATTCACTGCTTAGTTAATCTTAAGTTAATTTTAAGCCTGCCCGTAATGCTATGCATTCAAGTGGCTTTGGCATGCTGCATTTAACTGTATTCTTTTGTACTTCTCTGTATCATGTTCAAATTAATAAATAAATAAATAAATAAATTATAATCTTTCATGGTATGTGTTTGTGTTTTGGTACATGTGTGGGGGAAGGGTGGCATAATGCCATGACTAGCACTGTAGCTGTAATTTTTCGTCTGCACCTAAAGAAATGTCCTGCACATAAAAAAATCATAAATATGTGTAGTCTGGTTAATAACCAGCCTGTGCTTGTTTCTTTCAGAAACCACCTGACAGGTTGGTCTGGACCCATTACCCTGCAAAAAGAAAATATTTTCTTTCTCACTTTATTCAAATTCAATGTCTTATCAGTGTTGATAAATTTTTAGTTTTATCCTGTTCTGTTTCAAAATATCTTATCTAACTGAAATGTTCTTACAGTCCTTCATTTTAAATAGTATTTCCTTAACTTTCTTCAGCAATTTTTCCTTTTGCTCAACCTGTGTCAATGTTACTTACGGTGGCCTGTGCTTATCTTTATCATATTTTTCAATTCACCAATGTACCATTTTATGATCTTGAATGCTGAAAATCTCTAAGAACTTTAAAAGACTTTTTTTTTTTTTTTTTTTTTTTTGTGTCTACAGTTCCTATTGCCAATGCTTACATTTAGTTAGGTCTACATCAGCTGGTGATGCAAGCTTTCAGAGGTTCATGTCACACGGTTGAAGACTACATTCAGATTATTTCCCCATAGGGTTAGTAACTCCCAGATAACACAAAAAAGCCACTCAGTTTGGATTATTTCCTCTGGGTTCCTATGATCCTTGTCCCCAGGATGCCTGGAGTTTACCTGGAGAGAGTTTCGGGGGTCAACGCCCCCGCGGCCCAGTCTGTGACCAGGCCTCCTGGTGGATCAGCGCCTGATCAACCAGGCTGTTGCTGCTGGCTGCACGCAAACCAACGTACGAGCACAGCCCGGCTGATTTAGGAACTGACTTTAGGTGCTTGTCCAGTGCCAGCTTGAAGACTGCCAGGGGTCTGTTGGTAATCCCCCTTATGTGTGCTGGGAGGCAGTTGAACAGTCTCGGGCCCCTGACACTTATTGTATGGTCTCTTAACATGCTAGTGACACCCCTGCTTTTCATTGGGGGGATGGTGCATCGTCTTCCAAGTCTTTTGCTTTCGTAGTGAGTGATTTTCGTGTGCAAGTTCGGTACTAGTCCCTCTAGGATTTTCCAGGTGTATATAATCATGTATCTCTCCCTCCTGCATTCCAGGGAATACAGGTTTAGAAACCTCAAGCACTCCCAGTAATTGAGGTGTTTTATCTCCGTTATGCGCGCCGTGAAAGTTCTCTGTACATTTTCTAGGTCGGCAATTTCACCTGCCTTGAAAGGTGCTGTTAGAGTGCAGCAATATTCCAGCCTAGATAGAACAAGTGACCTGAAGAGTGTCATCATGGGCTTGGCCTCCCTAGTTTTGAAGGTTCTCATTATCCATCCTGTCATTTTTCTAGCAGATGCGATTGATACAATGTTATGGTCCTTGAAGGTGAGATCCTCCGACATAATCACTCCCAGGTCTTTGACGTTGGTGTTTCGCTCTATTTCGTGGCCAGAATTTGTTTTGTACTCTGATGAAGATTTAATTTCCTCATGTTTACCATATCTGAGTAATTGAAATTTCTCATCGTTGAACTTCATATTGTTTTCTGCAGCCCACTGAAAGATTTGGTTGATGTCCGCCTGGAGCCTTGCAGTGTCTGCAATGGAAGACACTGTCATGCAGATTCGGGTGTCATCTGCAAAGGAAGACACGGTGCTGTGGCTGACATCCTTGTCTATGTCGGATATGAGGATGAGGAACAAGATGGGAGCTAGTACTGTGCCTTGTGGAACAGAGCTTTTCACGGTAGCTGCCTCGGACTTTACTCTGTTTGACGACTACTCTCTGTGTTCTGTTAGTGAGGAAATTATAGATCCATCGACCGACTTTTCCTGTTATTCCTTTAGCGCGCATTTTGTGCGCTATTACGCCATGGTCACACTTGTCGAAGGCTTTTGCAAAGTCTGTATATATTACATCTGCATTCTTTTTGTCTTCTAGTGCATTTAGGACCTTGTCGTAGTGATCCAGTAGTTGAGACAGACAGGAGCGACCTGTTCTAAACCCATGTTGCCCTGGGTTGTGTAACTGATGGGTTTCTAGATGGGTGGTGATCTTGCTTCTTAGGACCCTTTCAAAGATTTTTATGATATGGGATGTTAATGCTATTGGTCTGTAGTTCTTTGCTGTTACTTTACTGCCCCCTTTGTGGAGTGGGGCTATGTCTGTTGTTTTTAGTAACTGAGGGACGACCCCCGTGTCCATGCTCCCTCTCCATAGGATGGAAAAGGCTCGTGATAGTGGGCTATCACAGGTACCCATTTACCACTAGGTGAACAGGTACATCATCTCCACCTGTGCTGAGATCAGACATAGTTTTACCTATGATAATGCTGTTCTGTTCTATTCATAATGTGCACACACAAGTAAGAGCAGAAACAGCTCCAAAAGTTTTATATAGGAGAGGCTTAGGGGTGGCAGTATTACTGTCTTCATTTTTATTTGGGGAGATATGGGGGAATTAGTAAGTTTATTTAGGCACAGGTACACACAAGTACAATTATCATACGCATTGCAAATTATTACAACCCAAAATAAGTCAGAGTGACGTATTTCCACTGGGGTCCTTGTATACCTGGAGGGTGGTCTGGGAGTCAATGCTCCCACGGCTTGGTCCATGACCAGGACTCACAGTGGATCAGGGCCAGATCATCCAGGATGTTACTGATGGCCACACAAACCAACAGACCATCTGGTCAGGTACTGACTTTAGGTGCCTGTCCAGCATCTCCTTGAAGACAGCCAGGGGTCTACTGGTAATCTCTCTTGTGTATGCTGGGTGGCAGTTGAACAGTCTTGGTCCCCTGACACTTACTGTGGTGTCTCTTAGTGTACTCCTGACGCTCATGCTTTTCACTGGGGGGATGTTGCACCACCTGCCAAGTCTTTTGCTTTCGTAGGAAGTGACTTCTGTGTGTACATTAGGGACTAGTGCCTCCAGGATATCTTATTATTTAAACCTTAGAGGTTAAACAGATAAGTAACTCAACTGGAATTTTTGGAGAGTTTCCAGCCCTTTGGCCCTGTCCTGCATAAGTCTGCTAAGTGATTATAATTTATCCTAGAATTATCCAAGCCAAAAAAAATATTTCACTGGAATATAGATCCTTGTGAAGAATTATACTTCTCCTGGGTTAAGTCATCATACAATGTCAATTTTGTGTATTATGGCTGTATTTTGTAGCCATACACAGTTTAATATTATATACAAGTAATGTAACACAACTATAACAATAACAATAATCAACTTAATTAGGTTATCCTAGATTCAATTCTATATAATTTACTTCATCAAGCCATTGTAAAAACTTATAATTATTTACTGACTTTCTTCACCTCTGTTAAGTATATAATGTTTTAATATTTGGATCTCAACAGACTTATTATAATTATGGGAAGTAGTTATCAGGTTTGATCTGAGGAGAGGGAGGGTAGCCCCAATTCCTTGGATCAAGAGCAAATAACCAGTATAAAGACATTTGATGGGAGTACACCAGCAAGTCTCAGGTTTATATATACATAAAATATGGTATTAATGAATTATCACTGATATGTTACCACAACCAGTTTATATTATTATTTTTATATTAGGAAGCGCTATACCCGTAGGGTCCCACTGCGGCAGGGAAGGGGGGGGGATGGAAGATAATCAAGTTGGATCCAAGGGAAGGATAGGTCAAATCCCTTGGAACAAGAGCCTCTCACCGGTCTCAAGGAACATCCATTCAAGGGACAAATAGTTCAGAGAAAATAATTCAAAGTACAATACATTAAAAAATAAAAAGGTAGCGAGTAAGAGCCAATGTGATCATTGTTAGCGTGTTAATATAGTGGTGAGAGGCACTACAACACTGCTGCAACTCTCAAACTTCACTTACTTTACCACAGTACACTGCCTTACCTCGCCCACCTAACAACAATTTAGCAGTGTTGAGTTATAACAGAGGTGCGTAATATGTATTGATATTTTTCCAGCTGCTTCAGTTTACTATTTCCAAGTCTCAGGTTCCAATACTATTTCTTACTTCTATATCCTCTCTGTTAATAAAAAAAATGCAACTATAAACACGGTTATTTTTACTTGAATTATTAATGACTCCATCGTTTCATTACATACTACAGAAAAACAAATAAGTAACAAAGAAATATTAAATTCTTTTAGAATATTGTAGATTACAGTATTAAATACGAGTATGTCGTTTTCTACACTCACTGCCATACATGTTGAGACTAAGTTACTTATCTAATTAATACAATATTCTTAGTATACCACCTACTTTATAAAGTAAGCCAAATATACAGCGTAAATTATAATTATATGGCGGTCTAGTTACTCTCACAAGCTTCTAGGAATCAAAACTCATTAATAATATATATCTACAACACATACATCAGCTGACTATAATCTGTCTAATAGTGTAAGTTTATTCAAGTATACACAAATACAGTTACATACATTATCATACATAGCAGCATATATGTAAATTACCTAGGATAACCCAAAAAAGTCAGAGTGACTTATTTCCATTGGGGTCCTTTACTTATTTCCATTGTGATGTAACTGTCCTTACTAACTTTATTACTTCTCTATAATAAGCGTCTGAAAATACTGTATACAACAGAAGTTAACTGTCTAAAAGTTGCGTTCATAACAAATATATTTCTGAAGATAGTAACTTTGCGTCATCTGTTCGTCGACCATCATTGTATCTTCATTAAATTCTCCTTGATCTACTTGTAAAATCGTCGAAATATAAATTTAAAATTAATATATGAGGTCTAAATAAAAGCTTATTACCTGATCTAGACAACGTATCTTTTTTTGAGTGACTAGTGAACTCTGCATTACACTAACAGAACACAGAGAGTAGTCGTCAACAGAGTAAAGTCCGAGGCAGCAACGGTGAAAAGCTCTGTTCCACAAGGCACAGTACTAGCTCCCATCTTGTTCCTCATCTTCATATCCGACATAGACAAGGATGTCAGCCACAGCACCGTGTCTTCCTTTGCAGATGACACCCGAATCTGCATGACAGTGTCTTCCATTGCAGACACTGCAAGGCTCCAGGCAGACATCAACCAAATCTTTCAGTGGGCTGCAGAAAACAATATGAAGTTCAACGATGAGAAATTTCAATTACTCAGATATGGTAAACATGAGGAAATTAAATCTTCATCAGAGTACAAAACAAATTCTGGCCACGAAATAAAGCGAAACACCAACGTCAAAGACCTGGGAGTGATTATGTCGGAGGATCTCACCTTCAAGGACCATAACATTGTATCAATCGCATCTGCTAGAAAAATGACAGGATGGATAATGAGAACCTTCAAAACTAGGGAGGCCAAGCCCATGATGACACTCTTCAGGTCACTTGTTCTATCTAGGCTGGAATATTGCTGCACTCTAACAGCACCTTTCAAGGCAGGTGAAATTGCCGACCTAGGGAATGTACAGAGAACTTTCACGGCGCGCATAACGGAGATAAAACACCTCAATTACTGGGAGCGCTTGAGGTTTCTAAACCTGTATTCCCTGGAACGCAGGAGGGAGAGATACATGATTATATACACCTGGAAAATCCTAGAGGGACTAGTACCGAACTTGCACACGAAAATCACTCACTACGAAAGCAAAAGACTTGGCAGACGATGCACCATCCCCCCAATGAAAAGCAGGGGTGTCACTAGCACGTTAAGAGACCATACAATAAGTGTCAGGGGCCCGAGACTGTTCAACTGCCTCCCAGCGGACATAAGGGGGATTACCAACAGACCCCTGGCAGTCTTCAAGCTGGCACTGGACAAACACCTAAAGTCAGTTCCTGATCAGCCGGGCTGTGGCTCGTACGTTGGTTTGCGTGCAGCCAGCAGCAACAGCCTGGTTGATCAGGCGCTGATCCACCAGGAGGCCTGGTCACAGACCGGGCCACGGGGGCGTTGACCCCCGAAACTCTCTCCAGGTAAAACTCCAGATTAGTAAGTAATTAATTACGTTACTTACTGTCCCGTAGCTCGGTTTGTAGTGAAGCCAGCTCACACATTATGGTCCGCGGTTCGAGCCCCTGTACGGCTAATGTCAGTGTTCACTTAGCAGTAGGTAGGTACCTGTGTTAGTCGATTAGTGTGAGTCTGCATAACCAGGGTAAGTTTATTTAGGTATACACAAATACAGTTGTATAGATTATCATACTAGGATAACCCAAAAAAGTCAGTGACTTATTCCCATTGGGGTCCTTGTGATAATTATTATTTATATTTAAAAGTTAAAAACAGATAAGTATCTTTACTATGTAAAAGCAGTTACAATAAAAGATATACTAGGAGAGGCAAAATTAGTAAGTTTATTCAGGTATACACAAATACACTTATACTGATAATCATACACAGCAGCATATGTGTAGAGAACTTGGGATAACCCAAAAAAAGTCAGACAGAGTGATTTATTTCTTACAAGAAATCACTTCCTCCCAGTCTGTAGCCAAATTCATGAAGCACATTTTGGCTTTCTTCTTGAACTGCCTCATGCTATGACCGGTTTTTGAGATGTGCAGGCAGTTTATTCCACTCTTTTATTGCGGTGAAGGTAGATTTGAAACATATTTTAGTAAACAGGCTGGGAAAAAAGGAACGAGGCTTTCAGAGAAAGCTTGCTGCAAGCAATACAGGGGGGTACACACCCTCCCAAAGCTGTCAGGTTAGATTTCCCCAACAACACTGATCAAGAGACCAAGTGTAACTTGTTTTTCGAAGCTAGTGTAGACAACCTAGAGAAAACGATCAAGTTTTTCCACGATGAGGATAACTACGTCTTTGTACCTAATGATTCAGCATGTATATACAAACTTCTCACTCACGAATATGCCAACATCAATAAGCACTTTAGGTGCCCCACCAAGGGCACCTAAAGTGCTTATTGTCATCTACAACGTCAACAAGCACTTGAATCCTCAATATCTGGCGTCAGAGCAAGTTGCAAGCCCTCGTCGACTTTCCAACGGTCTGATATTAGCTGAGTGGACTGGCCAGTGGACTCTGCCACGCTATATTCACTCCTGTGCAGCCATCAACAGACGCTATAATATTGCATTGTACAGAGACCTCCTCTGTGAAAATTTGTCTGGACTGCCTCCAAGTGAGTCGCCTACCCTGGCAAGCTCTGTTGACACCGAGCTCTGAGGTCGGTACCTCAGCCTCACAAGTGGCTTATAGGACAGATTTTCATAAATGACTGATGTTGTAAGAAATTTCGCCTGCATGCACGTTTAAAGGACTAACTTACTTGGTGATGTAGAATCTATTCTGGTCTTCAACCTCCCTAAGCTTAGCCCCTCTGGACTTGCCCTCAGAACCACGTGCAACCGGGAGCCTTAATTCCTGCAATATTCAATCATTATTAGTGACCTACCTGCACCTCAGAAATTCCTATTTCCAAGGGGGGTGAATCCCCTAGAATACTATGCAGAAAGTGACACTAGCTTCTAGGCTGACAAGAGACGCTGGTATGTACTGGGCATGCACTGCCAGCTGCACAAAAGCCTACAGCTCAACTCACTCGCAACTTTCCCCAGACACTGGCCAGGATCCTAAGAAAAAGAGGAGGTCTTGTCTTACTGTATGTGCCTGACGGAGGAGGTCATCAACGTTACATCGAGGTGCCTCCACCAGATTTCCCCAGGTCTAATATGTGAAGACACGTGGGGGCACCGCCTGCTGATCATAGCACAAGTTGTTCAGATGGTGTCTAGTCTTAGAAGGAAGCTCTGGCGTCTTCGAGACCCGCGCCTCGTCATTCAAACTTGGGCTGCCAGTTCTCCCTAGCTAACATAACCTAGTGTTTGCCTACATTAGGCCTATTACTACCTATGTTAAGGTCTTAGGTCTACATTATTATTATCTACAGTTGCCTCAATAATCCTAATATTAGTGTACTAACAGTATAAACTACCTACTTCTTCCCTGAAAGGTAAATCTATCAATTAAGAAGCACCTTCCAACCACCTTCGCCAACCCGGGTGAGTGTGTTTGTGTTTTGGGTGGGTGTAAGGGCCCTCGAATGGTGTGTTTTTCCACGTTGGGACTTCTTGGACCGAATAAGTTTCAACATCCTCCCACCGGCGAAGGTAAGCACTAAGTCTAAATCAAGTTCACCTTCCGCGAGCCCCCACGGCGGACCCTGGACATGAGTACCATCCGGCCACTCTCGTCGAGCAGACTCCGGTCTAACATCAACCATCCAGTTTCCCCTGCATGGACTTCTGGGGGTGTAAACTTGTTGGTTCCAGTGGTCTTAGCACCCTTTCCTTTAACTTTAACATCTTTTGTATGTCTAGCCTTGACTGAGTGGCTCCATACTTTCCCACCCAGTGGCCCACATGCCCTGGTAGCCTTTCCTCCCACTGATACGAGGTTCCCTGGATTTAAAGGCAATCTATCTCCCTCTTTACGTACCCTGTAAAAGTGTTTTCCCAAGGTGGCCGAGTGTTCATCACTCCCTACCTGGTTCAGCTTCCCTGGCGGTTAATCCTGTATACTGATACTCATCACTACTACCCCAGCTATCATGGGGACAGCTTCTTCTCTCTCTGGCATGGCAGGGAATTCAGGTCGAATCCTGCCGCCTATAATGTATCTTACTGGGGATCTGTATAAACCAATTCCTTCCCTAAACGTCCGACTTGTAGACAGGAAGTCATCTATCTGATTGGCTCCCACCAGGATACCTACATTTCTGACTGTGTCAGTGGTAATTCCCTGGTCTGCCAGCTTCACGTCAAGGTCTTTCAATCGCTTAGCTGCTGCAGCAAGACCTCTCGCTGTAACTGACGTGGGTAATGTCTCTACCACCAAGGCTGTAATGTCTCTGCAATGTCCACCTAATTTGACTGTGACATCCACCACATCATAAAATTCGACTGAGAGTCGAAGATCAAAATGAATTTTTTATGAGAGAGCCACAAAATTTGGTTAACACAAGCCTATCTGATGTTATCCTGACGCCAAATG